GGTTACCGCCAAAAAAAAACAGAGGTAAAAAAAAAAAACGGTAACCTGGTTGCCGAGTTCACGAAGTGAATTGGCTTGTTTTACAACGTCGTTGCCAAGCGACGAAAACCCAATCCCGATGGCAAACACCGAGGGGGGGGGGTTCAGGTTTTGCGTAGGGAAGGAGGTCAAGAGTCTGGAACAAGCGGGCGTGAAGATGCTCCATCATCTTTGTACAGTATCTTTCAGAGACAACAGTCCTGCGCACAACATCACGCGTGGCCTGCAAGCCTATGCTATGGCGGGGTGTGGGTCACAACGTTTTTTTTTACTGTTGCACGACGTCCTTCATTCGCTGCCGACTATTTCGTTAAATTTAATATAACACACTTCTGAAGATATTTTTTTAAGTTTGTTCGAGTGCGTCCTCACCTCAAGCTCATCATTCGACCAAACTAAACCACATGTAGACGACCGAATGACTTGGCTCTACAACCCGATTTGACTCGAATTCGATCGTTGGGATTTTGACACTACCCCGTAGAAGCCACTCTACCGTACCCTGCACGGGACTGAAACGTGCGCACAAACCAAAAACCTCTTGCGAAGACGTGAAAAAAACAAAACGTGTTTTCTTTACGCACCTCTTCGACAACTTCTGCTTCACACGCGCCACATTGGCGACTTCCGTCGACCGACAACTTCAAGCCTGTATCCTCCCCCCCCCCNCCCCCCCCCCTGTAGAGTCGACCGTCTTCGCGAGATATTCAGTATTACAAGGAAAAAGAACAAGGAGGGAGTACGCAGACCGTATCCCCAACCCTAACCTTCACCCAACTTCCCCGATGGTATGCTTTATCCATTATGTTTGCTCAACACAAAGAACCTAGGAAGGCTACTGGGTAGAATGGGTTGTCCCGCTGATCGAATAAAAAACAAACTCATTCAAGCATGTGTGGGCCCCGCTCCGCGTGCGCAACCGTCGTAACTAACGGCGAACAGAGTCGATTTTGCGTGCCCCAATTGTCTAACGAATACGGCATGCACGACCATGAGTACCCCCCCCCCCCCCCCCCCCCCCCCCCCCCCCCCCCCCCCCCCCCCCCCCCCCCCCCCCCCCCCCCCCCCNGTACCCCCCCCCCCCCGAGGGAGACGGTTTCTCACCGGCCTCTTTCTCCCGCCCTCCCCAAGACGTCACCGACACGATCTTCTCCGCCGCCGCCGCCACCTCCCCCTCCAGCCTGAAGTCCTCCCCTTCCTCAGCCCCCGACCCATCCCTCCTACCTCCCGCCAACCCACTCGGTACGTCTAGAATCCCTCCTCCTTCGTCTCTATCCGGCCCATCCTCTCCGCCCGCAGGAGAGCCAGCCGGTCCCGCGCTCTCCGCCGGCGGCGAGCCCGCCGCAGGCTTGCCCAGCGGCAAATCATGGCCGTGTTCGCTCGACACGATCGGCCTTGGGTCCAAGAGCCGCCCCGAGCCGCCGCCGTCCAAGAAGCCCGGTTTTTCGGTCGAGAAGCCCGGGAGGAGGAGCAGCTCCGCCACGGCGGGTGGCCGCCCCCACGACTCCGCTGGTACCGCCGCCGCCGCCACCGCCGCCGCTGCTGCTGCTGTAGTGGTGGCCGCTGACTCGCCTCCATCTCTGCGCGAAACTTCACCGCTGCCACCACCACCGCCGCCGCTACCGCCGCCGCTACGGCTACTGCTGCCGCCGCCGCCATGCCGCCGGTGCTTTTTGCCGGCCTCGCGCGGACTTCCCTCGCCACCGCGAGAAGCATGCGGCGCTGCTGCGGCACCGGGGCCGCCACTAGGCACGCAAATGGACTGTGACCGGTGTAGTGCCCGGAGGAACTGCGCCCGGCTGTGGCGAGGGCATACCACGGGCCCGAACATTCTCTCGCCGTTGATCGAAAGCTTGTGGTGTAGGGATATAGGGTTAGGGATAGGTTTAGGGTTAGCCCGAACATTCTCTCGCCGTTGATCGAAATCTGCATACAAACACACGTGAGGTTGCGTGCCATCAGGCTTAGCTGTTTCAGAAGAAGGACAAAGAGAGAGAAAAATATGCAAGTTTTTTCTTATTCTTCCACACACTCAAGGTGCTGACATGTTGTCCTCGCACTTTTACCTACAAGCGACCTCCACATCGGACAGCACTTATTACCCCTCCGACTAGCCTACACGCGACCACCATGCACCTACTACGTGCAGGCAGGTCGTACGCCTGCGATGTCCACTAGCCTCAACGATTCCGCCAAACACCTTCATCTGACTCGTACGCCTGCTATTTGGACAGGCCGTACACCCAGCTGGACAAGGCTACGCATGGCATGGAGGTCATCAACAAGACAAGGGTCTCCGGTACATGACTCAGGTGATCAATAAAAAAAGGTATCGTTACAAGATGAGAGAGATATCCAAAAAGCCATTGAAGGCGTGTTGTGATGCAATACTGTACCATACGACACAGGGCAGCCCAGGCCCCCGTGTTGCAATCAAAAGGTATCAACATCAACAACAACAAAATCAACAACAACAACATCAACAACATCAACAACATCAACAGCAACAGCAACTCAACAACAACAATAACAACAACAACAGCAGCAGCAGCAGCAGCAGCAACAACAACAGCAACAACAGCAACAACAACAGCAACAGCAGCAACAACAACAGCAGCAGCACGGTGCCGGGCACGCAACAGGGTAGAAGTACGTCCACTCACCTCTCGGAAGGCGGCGTCGAGAGAGAGATAGATTTGCTCCAGCAAGAGGTTCTTCGCGCGTGTCGGGACTGTCAGTCAGCGGTTTCACGACGGAGACGGACAAATATATATATCGAGAGATCAAGAGAGAGAAGGAGGCAAGGACGAAGGCCGGCACCGGGAGGTGGGCATAAGGTGCCGAGGCTGTTGAATCTCGAAAAGACGAGAGCCAGCTTTCGTGGAGAAAAAAAAAAAGTTAGATTGACTTCACCCAGGGGAGGGGTACTTGAGATCGTGACCATGATGACACCAGCAAGTAGACGAGATCCTCCTAAGGAGTGTAGTGCACGCATGGAAGATCACGTCAACCAACAAGAGCGCACGGCACACTAAATTAATCAAGGAGCATGTCGACCAAGACGTAGACCACGCCATAAGTAACGACGGCCACGACGGGGTTGAGAGCATGGCGATGACATTCTGAAGCACACCCACTCCGAGCAGCATCTCAACCAACAAATACACGAGATCCTTAAGACTAGCAACCCATCGACCATAACGTTTTGTCAACCAACAAAAATACACTAAACATAAACAATGGCAAACTCGCCCAGAAGTGCTTCAACCAATGGGTACACCGGATACCAACGAATGCAAGCTCATCGAAATCGCATCAACCAAGACGTAGACAATGCACACTCGCCGAGGAGCACGTCGGCTTACTCAGAAGGTTAGTCACCAAAGAGCATGTCGACCAAGAGGTAGACGACGCTACCGTAGGTTGCATGATGTAAGATATCACCCCCCCTGGACCGATTTTCAAAGCTCGATTACTCTACGACGAAGAGGATGCCGAAATTGTAAGTAAACGTTGTCGGAAAGCTCTCAACGAGGGGGTTCCAACGCCGCCATTTTTCGGCACCGTCAATGCTAGTGCTGCCGAGATATCGCGAGCTTTGGAAATCGGTCCAGGGGGGGGGTGATATCTTACATCATGCAACCTACCGTATGCACCGGCGGTCCCGTACACGTTGTGAGCATTGCTGACGGCAAACTACAGAGCGTTAACTCACCCAGTAGCATCTCAACCAACAAGCGCACGGCATGCACAAGGGCGAAAACTCACTCAGCATCATCTCAACCAACTAAGCACACGGCACACACAAAAAAAGGTTAGCTCACCGAGCAGCATGTCGACTAAGAGGTACACGACGCTGCCGACGACCGTGTTTACTATCCTAGCGAGGGAGACGGCCTCGCCGTTTGCCCCCAGCACGGTGCTGGAGCTGGTGAAGATGACGACGGCGGTGAAAGCAGCTACCAGCGCCGCGTAGGAGAACTGAGAGCTGTTCCGGAAGAAGCAAGTCACCGCCACCTACCGTCACCATGTTTGTCCTCGTTAGTATTGTTTGTTGTTGTTGTCGTGGTTGTGGCATCATTGCAGGCGTCTGTATTGGTGTTGTTGTTGACGTGTTGGATGTTGGTCACAGTGTTGTTGAAGGTGGAAGTATTACTGCCTTTTGATATTTTCTTGGCGCGAGGTAGGGGCAATAGGAGCACCGCAAAGTGGTTGAACAAGGCTAGGGAGGGGCGGGGGTACGACAACGCGATGCCATAAGCATGTACTCACCCACGGCAAAAGAATAGCGTACGTCCGCAAGTTGTACGACTCGACCCCAGGCTGGCCGGCAAGCTTGGCAGCCAGGATGCCATACACGGCTCCCTGGAGGACGGAGAAAAACGAAACGAACAGCAGTAGGAGGAAGGACAGATCCATGAGGTAGCAGAAAAACTTGTCACGGTGACGTGGACAACCGGCTGTACCGACTGCTTGCCGTGGGTCTGGTTGTTGTTTGTTGGTAGCGTGGCAGTGATGCATACGCTTCACCGCACTCACGGATGGGCGGTGCCAGCCGGTGATTTTTTTCGGTACATGCCACCGCCAGACAACCAACAACACCACTGGCGTACCAAAGAAAAGTGCTTACCGCTCACAACAACGGTATACTGTATCTAAGTATACCGTGGATCGAATTCTTACGTAGATCGATTGCTCCGCAACAAGAGGGTGCTATCGATACACCGGCCAGCAGGTCGACGGACTCGACGACATATTCTACCGAAAACCACCGTTTCTCGGCAGTGGTGTCCTCTCGGCTGTGGAGCAATCCATCGAGCTATGCCAACGAAAGCCTGTCTGGGGGAGGGGAGGGGTGGGCGTGCTCACTCGCAACATGACGATACAGTGGGGGTCTGCCTCTCAGTAGTACCGGCCAGATCCACTGGCACTATACTGGGCACTCGGAACTATTCAACGCGTTAAGTTGTGGCGTACTCCATCCGTGTCATGCTATGTCGCCGCCAGCATGCCGAGCAGAGGCACCATTCAACAGGCACTGTTGAGGGACCCCCACTCCTATAACCCATTGAGGCGCCCACCAACACCGTGCCAACCAGCCGCAGCAGGGACGTAGACAACGCGCTGGCGCTCTGGTTGTCCATGACGAAGGTGGCGGTGATCGAGATCCACACGGACGGCTCGAACAGCTCGGCCAGGAAGGGGGACAGGCTGAACACCGCGCACAGCGTCAGCGCCAGAGACACCTGACTTGGCGGTGCCCCCCGCCACAGCAACAACGCCGACGACGAGGAGGAGGAGGAGGAGGAGGAGAAGGTACGGGGTCATGCGGGGGCTATTGCGCGGGATATGCGATGTACACGGGTTTCCTTCCTCTCTCTTCACATCGGGGTCTGAGAGTTGAGCCCACGCGCTACGAACGTTGGAGCACTTCCCCGGTCAGTCGACACATGTATGATTCCACTATTTAGAGCAAGAAAAGCGATGCCAGAGAAGAGGAGAGACAGAGACAAGGGGCAGGGTGTTCCCAAGGGATGGGTCGGTACCGTTCGTCTTCGATATTTTTTCCTTAACTCCTCAGCCGAAGCTGGCCAAAAGTCGAACTGAACCTTCAGTGTTCGCAGCGCTAGCTTTGGGAAGTTGGGGTATCGGAAGCTTGCCCTGTCTTGGTAACGCGGGTGGACCACCTCTCTCACCTTTCAAATCACCCTCAAGACACCATTGCAATCAATTCTACCCCCGCCTCCCTTCCCCCTTGGGCGAGCACAAAGGCATGTAGGCATCCATTTCGAGGCCCGTCGAAAACCCCACCAAGAATTAAATCACTCCACCAACAAAGCGATTATGCGCAACCACCATCGTCGCGCCCCTTCGCTCCTCCGCCACACAAGCTCACCTTGAAGCACCACAAGTACCCGCTCCTAGTCACGGCGGAGAGACATCCCCCCTCCCGAACGCCTCCCGTCCTCGAGGTAGGAGACACCGGACCCGACCTAGCCCCGAGGCGCTTCAGCGCCAACTTGACCTTGCGACGATGCCCCCGGCTGCTGCTGCTGCCGCGGGGGCGGCAGCATCGCGGGGCCAGAAGTCCCGCGGTCGAGGATAAGGCGCCGAGGAGGCCTGGCGGGGGTCGGATCGCCGTCCACAGGCCGGAGATGATGAAGCGGGCTGCTTCCGCGGATTGGGACGGACGCCAGCCCCTTTAGTTGTCGCGAGCAGCGGGGCGGGCACGCCGTNGGGGGGGGGGGGGGGGGGGGGGGGGGGGGGGGGGGGGGGGGGGGGGGGGGGGGGGGGGGGGGGGGGGGGGGGGGGGGGGGGGGGGGGTACTCGTGTTTTGCATGCCTTAGCAACTAGGCTATTACTAACCATGCGTCCTCGAGAGGACGACGACGGGGGCAGGATGGACGGTGTTGGCCTGGGAGGATTGTGTTTGCATGTCCCAAGGGTCCCGGTATGGCGCGGGCTCAACGGCAGAATCGCCCTGATAACCCCCGTTGACCTTCTGGATATAAGGACGATCAAATAGACCTGACTCCCACGGTGCATGCATAAAGCATGGTTCAAACTTGAGCTGGAACATGGAAAAGTTTTTTCGAGTTGCTAATAATCCATGCGATAACACATCTCAAGCATTCACGGTGCGTTGGAAACGTCATCATCTCTCCCCCCGACGCCAAGAGATCAACCCACCACATCTCTTGCGGGAGAGAGGGGAGAGGCAGAAGAGGAGACAGAGATAGAGAGAAACAGAGACAGAGGAAGACAGAGACAGAGACAGGGAAAACAGAAAGAGACAGAGCCAAACAGCGACATGAACACTAGACGGAGTAGAGCGCTCCAACCAGAAGAGAGGAACAACAGCAGTCGCCGTCCTCGCTGTTGCTGCTACGTATCCTCTTTCCACTAGGCCTGGGAAAAGACAGACTCACCCCGCGCGGCTAACCCGCTTCTTGGTGAGGGCAGAGCAAAGCCCCGACAGGCTGAACAGAAACGCCCCCCTTGCCATGGTGGCGGAACTCCCAAGCTTCTGGCGCTCCTTCATGACCAGCACGTGGTTCGGGACACCGCCCAGCGGGTCCCGTTCCTTCCTCCTGCCCGCGATCTCATCGCTAACTTGGGCCTCTTTGCTGCTGGCGGGTACCCCCCCGGCCGTCGTGCTGAGGCCGTTCTTCAAGACAGAGATATTGATGCTGCCGGTCCGGGGAAGCTTTTCACGCTTAGACAGGGATTGGAGGTCCTCCAGGGACACCGGCTCTCGCGGGATAGACGGGCTGAAAGTGGGAGGGGTGTAAGGGGTCGTTGATCGAAACGTAAGCTTCCTCCCTTCGTTATTTCGCCCCGTCGCTATGTCGTCAATGAGTGTGTTTGAGTGTGGTTTTTGCGTGTTGTGCATGGTGCTCAGTGCCCACGTCGCTGTTGCTGTTTCACTTTGGGGAGCAGGAGGAAAGGGGTAACGATATGACGTACACCAATAGTACCAACAGCAACCACAACAACAACAACAACAACAACAACAACAACAACAACAACAACGACAACGACGACGACGACGACGACAAAAACAACAACAACAACAAGAGGAGCAAGATCAGCGGCAGCAGCAACAACAACAGCAACCACCACCAACAACAGAAATAACGACGACGACAACAACAACAACGACGACGACGACGACACATCGCCACACTCCCCTGCTTCCCACCTGACACCAACATTGAGACATCGACAACAACCCGCACCACGCAGTATGGATCGTTCCCCACTTGCGACCCGTGTCCCTCACTACAATCACACGGAACTCGCGCATGATAGCACAGACGCCACGGTCCTACTCAACCGGTTCCGAATAAGCTAATCTAGCAAAGCCACCGATGACCCCATCATCCTCCTTGACTCTTGTATACACTCGTCCCCGCTCTAAGGGCGCGCATGTTCTATCTCCATTAAACGTGTCCCAAAAGCGGGGTGGCGTCCTTCAAATCACCCCCCTATCGTTGTCTACCATCTGCCGGGCACCATGCCTCTGGCAAGAATGATAAGCAGGGACTGTCCATAACTTGGATGTCCTCAAAGCGGGGACGGCTGACGGCACTCTCCCACGACCGTATTGACCCTCCCCGCCTCAGGAAGCAGAACTGTTCGAAAATTTCTTCTCCTGTCCCTCCTCTTCCCACTCTCTCAAGCCACGAACCCCTCCTTACCCGACCGCCTTGGTGAGAAAGTACTGGGACGGATTTCGCAGACCCTACTTCTAACCCAACTTTCGACTGCATGTTTTTTCCAACATGTCCAATTAGTAGAAAAAACTGCAAGTCGGGGATACGCAGACTCTATCCCTAACCCAACTTTCTCCGACTGCATGCTTTTTTCGACATGTTTACTTTAACCCTGCAAAGGCTACCGTACTGCTGTCCCTACCTTCGTCCTCCCCTGTCCACCTCCCGACCCAAGGAGGCGACCTCCTCTAGCGGTCGGCCAAGGTCGTCCAGGCCGTACAGCACCTCCTTCCGCGCCCGCTGGTAGTCCTTCATCATCCTCGACACGGCTTCCTCCAGGCGCCCCGTAGCCTCGAGCAGGCTGGATTGTCGTCGAAGGGGGGGGGGCTCCGTGGATGATCGTATACCCCTCTCCTCGTCGTCGTCGACGGGGCCCCCGGTGCCGGCGACAGTGGCGGCGGTGGTGGCGGCGTTGCCGACGCTGCTGGTTGTCATGATGCCGAGAGCGTCCTTGGAGTTGGGCGGGGGCGGGTAGAGCCATAGGGTTCCCCGCGTTATCGAAATAGACGAAATAGAATGGAAAACAAGGGGAGGGAACGAAGAGGGAAGTAGCGGGGTGGGGGTGTTGGTTTTTTTGTCGGTGATAACGAGGACTTCCTTGGAGTCGTGTGGGCGGGGTTGCATCATGGGGATTCCCGCGTACTGGATTGAAAACAAATCGGTAGAGCGGAGAGGAAAAGGGGCTGGTTTGGGGGGATGGAACAAGCAGCAAAACTGTAGAGGGGGGGGGGCGACGACCACGAGGACAAACAACCGCCACTAGCAACAACAACAACAACAACAACAACAACAACAACGAAAACAACAACAACGACGACGACGGCGACAACAACCCTTCAAAGCGAGCGCGAGTTTTTTCTCGCTCACCCGATGACAGCAGGCCAAGATCGACGCCGGCAGCAGCGCAGACCGCCTGGAAGTGGCCTCAAGGGTAAGGTCCACCGCCTTGGAGACATCCCTTAGCGAAGAGCCGACAACTCGCGAGAAGGATACTTGGGCCCGAGTCCTATGCATGTCCACCATGCTTTGCAGCATCCCCCTCACCCCTTGTAATACTTGTTCCATCAGCTATGGGGTTGACGCGCGGGGAGGTGGGGTGGCATTGTGTTTGTCTTTAGGGGGGGGGGGGGGG